TCCAGGCTGACCCAGCCCAGCTCTCCCAGCCTGGTTCCAGAGCAGAGCTGCTCCAGCCCTCGCAGCATCCCCATGGTCCTAATAATAGGGCCTCAATCAACACAACACCCTCTCCCCACCTTCACCCAAGACTCGCAGTGAGAACTGCGTGTGCTGAGCCCAGACAGGGTCAGCACTATCCCACAGAGCCCATGACAAAACCCATGGTTCCCACCATGTCCAAACAAGAGCCATACCCTACAGCAGCCCAACCAGCGTCAACTTGGTGAAGACGGTGTGCAAAGATTATCTCCTGCTTTATGGGCAGTGCCATCTGGCACAGATGCACATGTGGGAGATTACACATATAAAAGCCAGGAGCCGCAACAACAACAACCACCATTTCCATAATAGTTCTCCTTTCTCTTTTTCTCTTCTTTGAAGGAAAACGCGTTGACCGTCTCATTTGGATTCATAAAGGAAACCTATTAATGAAAGGCTTCAAAGAGCCGTCTCAGAACTTTTAATCAGTAGTTGTGCTTTAGCCTGGAAAGCAAAAGAAGCAGAGGGGGCTGGGTGATGGGCTTCTTTGTTGTCGTTTCTGGTAGTGTTTGCTTAAAGCACCAGCCTGTTTGAAAGCGGGCTGGGTGAGGGAGCCCAGCAGGGAGCCTCTTCTCGCCCACCTGGAGAAGAGGCCCCCTGAATGCTTGTTTTCATTAGCATGGGCCTCTCTGGCTCTTCAAAACCCTTTCCACCCGTTGCCAAGGCAACCTGGAGCCGTATTGCGGCACACGGGTGTTGTGCATCAACTGGTGTGTTTGGGCTGAACTGAAACAAATAAGCAAATAAGCATGCAAAACGGCCACAGGCCCAACAAGGGCACTGTCTTTTATCATGGACATCTAACATTTATGGGGTTTTCGAGCACTCTACAAGGCATAGCAGCAAGGAGGTGGTTGATCAAAAAAGGAAAATGCATGTGCAGGCACGGGCAGTTCTTTCAATTTTAATGGGTCTTCTTGCTTGAATAAGGTGAAGGGAATTGGGTCTAGAGCATGCAATCCCACTTGTGAGCCTTGAGTTATGTTTTCATGGCATTTGATGGCTCTCAGCTGGGCCTGGCTTCCCAGCAGGACTTGGTTCCCACTCCTGCATCTGCATCAGCACCAGCACCAGCATCAACATCAGCATTAGAGGCTGTTTTCCCACCAGGCTTGGATACTACACAGGCTACAGGTGGTGTTGCTGAGTGCTGACAAAATAACCTCCATAGAAGGTGCTGTAAATCTGGCTTTTGGGATCCAGCAGCTCCTGGACTCTCACCTGAGTCATTTATACTGCAATGATACACGCCACTATCGTGGGGATAAGAGTTAAGTCCATGGGCTTGAGGTTTTGGTTTCCAGGCAGTGCAAGCAATCAGCTTTGTGGAGAAAGAGGGTGTCTGGGGAGATACCACAGACTCCTTGTGGCTGTGGATCAGCACCTGCAGACGTGATAGTGAGGGGGGTCTAAGGGGAACATTCTCCATCGCTGCCTGCACGAGGTTCCTCTCAGCAACCGCCCGTCAGATTATCGGAGGCCAGGAGAACAGCATCCCTGGGAATACGTGTAGCAAGTCCAGCTAAGAACAGCAGCAAAAAGGAGTTTTCCTTTTGATTCAGGAAGGGAGGTGCTGGCTGCAAGTGCTGGCAGGGGAAGAGGGAAGGGAAGTGGGGCAGGAAGCTCTGCAAGGGGCACTGTCCATTGCTCGGTACCATGCTGTGCTGTGCTAGCAGTCATCAGAGCAGGAGCCAGGCAGAAGCAAGGCAGTGAGGTGCATGAAGATCCTGCTTGCTGTTAGGTGTAGGTGTCCAGCAGGGAGGAGACATGAGGGCTGCCTTTCCTCAACGGGGACCACAGTGGAATCCATCGGCTGCAGCGGAGCTCGTGCTTCCCTCAAGGTGACTGAGAGGTGAAGCAGAACCTCTGTGAAGCACTAATTGAGTGATTTCTGAACATGGTCTGGGCTACCAAGTGCAGACCCAGTGCTGGGTGGCTCCTGTGCCCAGAGTCAGCACCTGAGTCCTGTCTTTAGTTAACACCTTCTGCCTTGTGGTTTAGAAACGAGACGGAGAACGTGGTGTGATGCCAAGCCAGCCATCTCCCTTCTCCTTGCTTCACCTTCTAAGCCCTGCTTGCAGCTTCACCAGAGAGAGCCCCTCTTTGCCAGCACGCAGCCCCCTTCGCAGGACCCAAATGCCCAGCTCCCTGAAGACCTCCATCTCCTTGCTCCCTTGGGATCCTTGGGGTACAAACAGCAGCATGCAGGCGCTGTGTCCCACCTGGGGTACGTGTTTCAAGCACATGGAGGGGTCATACTGTCAAACTGCAGTCATTTTCACCGTGTGTGATGTTTGCACCCCAGCTGAAGCGATGGGCTCCAGTGCACCATGTGGTGAATGGCAATGTACACCAAAGGACCTTCTCCAGCCCGTTTCTCTGCTGCTCTCCCAGCTCCCTTTTCTGAGCAGACCTGCAGTGCTAGCAGCTCCTCCAGCGTGCACTCGCGTGGCAGCTATGTTATTTTAAGCTCCCAAGTGTTATTGTAAAACACACCTTCCAGATGCAAGGATTCAAAAGGATTTGAATCATATGTACCAAGTATTCCAAATGCATGGAGGTGCACGCATGGGTACACGCTTGCACATGTGTGTATTGTTGCATGTTGCATTATATGTTTTTATATCCACTAGATACAAATACTGATCTTTTTTTACATATCTATACTCAAATACATAAGCCTTTAAAATGTATATGTACCTATATCGCACAAAACATGCCAGCTATTTAAGGGTTAAGACTTCAGATGATTTAATTCTAGTTTATATTTCCATTTTACTTCTTATGTGAGCTGTAACCTCTTTATTTAGGACTTTCAAATACGTAGCTATATATAACTATGACTGCTGAAATGAATGTAAGCACCATTAAAACGTGTGTCTTCTTGTGCAAGCTCTGTAACTGTCGCAGGCATAAATACACAAACAGAGGTGACGATCAGTCATAGATGTGCTACAAAAAAAATATGTATTTATACAGCCATGAGAAAGTCTGACTTGCCCTGGGGTACCTGAAGCTGATCATGTAAATGCATCTCATGTAAGCTAAAGGCTGAAAAATGGGTTTATAACCAGAACTCTAAAGTTCTTACAAAGCTCTCATCACACTTCAACCTAAGACCTCAGAAACAGAAGGAGCAGAAGGGAAGTACTATGGAAGGAGCAACAGCGTGCACACTATTTGGGGTCCATGTTGGGTTTGGTTTTGGTATCTGTGTTTCACCTGGATCGCCAGTGTTAGCTCCAAAGTGTGTTAGGAAACATAGGGAAAACCTTGTCTCTGTCTGACATGTCTGATGAGACTGCATTGGGATTGATACCGTATCCACCCCTTTGCGATGATAACTTCAGGTCTCACGCTGTGCCCATTACTGAGTGGTGTAGCTGTATCACAGTCTCTCCTGCAGCCTGATCGTCAGGATTTGGCACCAATTTGCTGAGGGTTTCCCAGCTTTTCATGCTGGACAGGGAGGGATGGATGGAATGGGGCATGTAGACCTGACCCCAGTCCACATGATGGGGAGCCAGTCACAGGGGACTTGCTTGCAGTCACCCAGGCAGAGCAGAGAATTAAACTGCATAGGCATTGTTAGAAACAAAAAGAGGAAACCTTCCGACCTGACACAATAAATGTGATTGTCCAGGCCTCAGATAGTGAAAACTGGCACAAAAAACATTGACTGCACCAGAGCTCTGCTGATGAGCTGAGAACATGGTGCAGTGAAAGAGGATAGGCTTATAGCATAGGTAATAGAGTACACGTTGTCCTCCTCCCTGGCTAACATCTATTAGGTTCAGTGAGGCTGTAATGATACGTATTAGAGGATGTCCAGCATGATCTATGGAGTGGTTTAAATTGCATCAGACTTAGGGTGGCCTCTCACACGGCCCTGAATGGGGAAACTCAATAATTCTGGAAAATTGTGCCTATAAATTTCTTTCTCATGCAGCTTGTAGTGTTTCCAAAGATGATCGTGGCATGGCTGCATTGAATACGCACCTTACAAAGTGTGAGGTTCAAAGAAGCAGACTTTGGCTTTTATAAACAGTACATAAGTGTTTCAGTTCACCTTTAAGGAGTGAGCTCCATTGCACCAATCTGCTTTTCTGGTAGCATATCTCTTAGGAAGGAAAAGGCATATGGGTCTGCCCTGAGGAAAAGCAAGTCCCTGTTGGTAAGATGAGGTCCTTGAGCCCAATAGTGCTAATTCTTTCCCACTGAGATGAAACCCAGCCCAGGAGCAAGGAACAGCAGAAGTCCCATGCACCACTTCAGCCCCATTTAAGCTGGAGTGCGGGAAGGGGCAGGGTGAAGAGGAGGAAACCATGTGTCAGCTGTCTGCTAAAGGATCAAATTAATCTGATCAGTAATCTTTGCTCAGTGAGGAGTGTGCTGCTGGTCTTATCTAGCCTCCTTTTGAGATTAGACACAAGAGTGAAGAATTGCAGGGCTTGGCAGTCTATTTGTTGTTGATCATTCCCTGGTCATATTTTCCAAGTGTTTTATGGGGGTAGGATGAGTATGCTCCATTTCACATGGCTGAGATAATATTCCCCTGGAATGGGGAAGACATGGACTAACCTAAATGAGAGGGAAAGAAACACCAGCAAGAATCCGAACCCACCAAAACCAAACCAAGCCTCTGGGACTTTGGGGAGGGTCGAGGTAAAAACCAGCTTCTCATGATTTCATCAAGCCATGGTTGCTGTCCTGCTGCCCTCACCCTATACTGGTGGCCCCACTGAAAGCAATGGCCCAGTTTAAGGGTTAGGACACTCTGGATCAGCAGTGCACTTCAATACGCACTCAACTGAAACATCCAAACAATCCCTTTGTATTCAGTGGCTGCACTCAGCGTTAAAAATAAGCCTGCTGTTAAGTGCCTTCATCAGCTCTAGGTCTAATTATTTACTTTACATGAGTAGTTCCAGAGGAACTCAGGTCTTTGCTGTTTGGGTTAGGAAACAAGAAAAACAGCCCCCGCTTCTGGTTTACGCAGTGGCGAAATGAAGCGTGCTTTGTAGGGGTAAGTACTCTCAAAGTCTTTTTGTGCAATGAAACCTATGTCAAACAGATCAGAATAACAAAACAGAGGTAGATTTCCTAAATAAATGTATAAAAAAATGAAATCTTTTGTAGACAAAGGAATTTTGCCAGAGATCCTATGGTGTTTTAAAGTGATGTCTTCAGACAAGGCTTAGTTTGGGGGGGGGGGGGGGTGGTACTTGCAAAGTATTTTTGAATGTTATTTGCTATTTCTGGATGGATTTGAGGTGGAGTTTCAATAAGGAGGAAGCATAAAATGAATAAAAAACAAAATGCAGATTCTCCACATTAATTTCTAAGTATTACTTCTGCCATCTAAGGATAATTTGTCCCCCTGAATAAAGCCTCTCCAAAGCCTTATGCAGCATATTATGTCCCTAAAATAGAGCTTATTTAAAGTGGGCTTTAAGGCATATGATGCCTTAAAGTCGAGTTCCTCCAGGAAGTGGAAATGGCATGAAGATGGGGGCTTACCTAATGAACACTGCATCCAGTTAATGGTCCCAAGTGTGTGCCCAAAAGGGAAGGGTGGAGGCGAGAGTGAAGTATCTTTAAAAGTTAATGAAATCTTTCATTTCAGTAATTGAGATACCTGTTTGATTTATGTTTGGTTCTCTCCTGGCTGGAGGCTCTCAATCAATCAGAGCCAGTTTGTCTCATCCTCGCACGTCAAGGCCAGGATTCATCTCACGTCAGGCGCTTGGTTTGCAACAGCAGGGGTGAAACACAGGATCTCCTGAGGATGATTCATATCATAGGTGGGCTGAGTCTCCCTCAGGAGGTGCCTGCCTCTCCCTGCCTTGCCTATAATGGGAACCAAGGGCTGACAGCACTCCAAACTTAGCCACCTCAGCTACGTGCCTATAGTGCGGTAGGATGAATCCGGGCTCATACATATTTTTTCCTCCCTCCAGGTAAAATTCCACTTTGCATTGACCTTCTGCACTGTTCCTCTCTCAAAAGCAGTCTCCAGGGGAGAATCAGGGCTCACAGAGCAAACAGGCACTGTGTTGACCCTGCTGACTTCCACCATTGATGTCCTTCCATTGGGTGCTTCAGAGGTGTCTTCCAGGGTCTGCATCCGTTCCATGAGAGGCCAGCACTATTAATATTCCTGATCATAAACTCCAGAGAACCACAAGCAAAGCTCCCGCACTCTCAGAATAGCTCCAGTGCTAAATATAGGGGATTTTTATGAATCTATTTGCCACTTCCATTAGTCAGGGCAGAAATACATTATTCTAAGATGTCTAAGCATTTTGTCATTGCTCACTGGCTGTTTCAAAACATCGTCTAAGCAGTTATCACTGTATTTCTGGTTGATATTATAACAACCACTGGCTAATCACAGAGTCAGCAGTGAAAACTGCTCTAATCGTTATCTTTCTGGCTAAGTAACTTCCCCGTTATTTGTTGTACACCGCAGATTTTGGCACGTGGGGCTTCTTTTTTTTTTTTCTTCTCATGTTAAATGTGAGATTTTATCCTCAAAGGAGTGATTATCTCCGAGCAAAATTGGCAAGGTTAAACGCTATCTATAAAAAACCAGTCAGCAGTGTGCCATGAAATGAATTGCATCATATATCACTCATCTACCTGGCGTTTGAAAAAGTGTGAATATGTGTTTGTTCAGTTTGGGTGAGTACTTTATATTAGGCTTCTTTTCCCATGAAGGTAAAAATGACCTTGATTATTAGAAAGTGAAGATATATTGAAGCGGGTAGAATCGACACAGCTCCATTTCATTTAGTCCCCACTAAAATTGAAAGAAGAGGAAAATAGAGATTGAATTTATTTTACTATATATTGCCTCATTTGAACTTTAGTAAAGCATTAGCCACTAAGGAAAAGCCTTCTCCCACCTCCCTTCCATAATCTCTTACAGATGGAAGGTTAAGGAAATTGTCCTGACTTTATTGATTCTTTGCTATGAGGTTCAACCAACAGCTGGTGTGTTACTGGGGAAATGTGTGCTGTGCTATAGCTACTGGAAAGCAGCGTTTTGACCTGGCAGCTCTGTGTACCCATACGAAAAAGCTCCTGACACTTTTAAATCCCAAATTGGTCTATCCCCCCCCCCCTTATACCTTAATACATCGTCTCTTTAGGACCCCACCGAAAAAGCTGTATTATACCAATCCAAGTACTTTACAGAATGAAGGAAAATAGTACCCTGCCAAGATGGAAAGCCACAGGCTGCAAACTAGCTGCTAGATTCTGCCAGGTCACTGGAATTGTCTATTAGTTCCAGAAATACTTCCCTTGTGATTGCTATAAAATGACCAGTGTGTGATGCTGCGTGCTGCTGGCCTCTCGCAGTTCGATCATTCATCAGGTGGAACTTCAGACACCTCCTGATTCAAATTTCCTGTTAAAATGAAGGGATCAACGTGAACCCTTTCTTCTCCCTTTAGTTTGATTTTAAGACTAATTGGTGTCTTCAAAATTCTGGGGAGCATTTTCAGCTGGCATCAACCAGCCCAGCTCTAGTGGAGCCCACAGAGGTACACCCATTTGTACCAGCTTAGCAGCTGGCCCTCTGAATGTGAAAATCTACATTAGCACCTATTTTATAGGTGATAATTGCTGCCTAAGTACTGCAAGCCCAGGATATTAGCACTAGTTCTGAGGAACTTCACAGTGGGTCAAGCTCATCCCTATGGTGAGGAGCTGGTGGCACATCTTCCAACAGATTTCATCTCCCAGGGTTCTCCGCAGCCCCACAGCTCCCCTCCTTTCTTTGTCTCCTCACCATAATGGTCCTCTTTCTGCTTCTTGAGGGGCTGCAGAAGCTTAAATCCTAGCTGGGAGGCTCATGAGGAGCAGAACAAAAGCACGAAGCACCTGACCTGCAACTCCCACAAGACTTTCCTGCATCAGTATAAACTGTTTGTCTCTTTTGGCCAAACTATTTCAGACTGGCTTGGTTTTGGTTTTGTAAACCTGTGAGAAGTGTAGAATTGCCTACAATTCTTTGTTAACCTTTTCTACGCAATATAACCTTCAAATATTGCTGGTTCTCATGAGGTTAAACTGTCCTCCCACCCCATATTTGCTGGTGTTCTCCTAGAAACACATGAACATGAGAGATCTCGGTCCCCATTTATAAAGCTGGAAGGCTCAAAGGCCCAGACCTCCAACCTTCCTTCGGATTCATGCTCCTTCTGGTTCTTTGCAATACATTCCTCTTCAAGCTAAGTTCATCTTCCTGCAGGTGCTTATTTTAGCTCATAGCTTTTTGTCAATTTGGCATTAACAACACTGCAGCTAAACTTTCAGAAGAGTGCTTACTTGGGATTGATCGGTGCATGGGGCTGGTAGCGAGGTGGGCTGTGGGAGAGCTGGGAAGCAACAATGGGAGACACACTCCTTTATGTTAGTTGTCTGGTATTTGTCATGTCCTATTTGGGGGTCTGAACTTATCCCCTGGGTGGACTTCAGTGGGATGGATTACAGTTCAACATTGCATAGGTATACTTCTATTTGACATCTCTGCAAAATTATTACATTAGTAGTATAAAATCTCCTAAGGGCCTGATATGAAATTCTTCCATTCATCAGTCAAATTATGCTGCTAGTAAGAAGTATGGCCGACCCAGCCTACCGTCAGGACCAAATTCAAAGGCAGTATATACAGCAAATGTAATTTAGACCTCTTGGCCTCATTCCTCACCTCTGCTGCAGAGCTCAGCGCTGCAGAGCTCACTAGCACTAGCAAGGAGGAGCTTCCCATTACGGATATAAAGCCATTTTCACCCCCGTTAATTCCCTGCACCAGGCACTAAGTCTAGGTTGAGAAAAAAATTGCATCCATTTGATGAGGTACTCCCTTTCTTCTCCAAGGCAAATCTTGGGTAGTTCCCAAGCACAATCTGTACTCTGTGACCTTCAGGTATGGCTGAAGTTTAAGTCCCCAGAGAACTTTGGATGGCTGTGTTGATTTCACTAGCAAAATCCAAGGCGAGAAGGAAAACCTTCAAGGACAATATGTGTCTCTATTCACTCAGTGACTTCCTTCCCTGCCTTCCGTCTTTGCCCTCCCCAGTCACTCTAGGGTTTGAGTGCCTCACACCAATGCAGGTTTCTCTTCATCCCTTCCCATGGAGAAAAATGCCATTGCTTTAATTCTACTTGCTGAGGAGCTGTTCTACAGAGGGATTAAATAGCTCCCTGCAAGCCATATAATAAACCAGAGCAGGTATTCCCCAAGGCCCAGCCTGCAGACTCAGCTCCTACACAGCCCCCTTCTCCCCTCCTCTCCTATAGACCATGCTTCTCATGATCACTATCTCCGTAGAGCCCTAGCAGCCAGCTCCACCAGAGATTCACATTGCTGGACTCTCTGCATATAGAATCATAGCACCAACTGGGTTGGAAAAGCCCTTCAAGCTCACCCAGTCCAACCATTCCCCAGCACTGCCAAGGCCACCACTAACCCATGGCACTGAGGCCTCATCTCCACGCTGTGTGAACACTTGCAGGGACAGTGACTGCAGCCCTGCCCTGGGCAGCCTGTTCCAATGCCTGAGCACCCTCTGGGGAAGGAATTGTTCCTCAGCTCCATCTAAACCTGCCCTGGTGCAGCTTGAGGCCGTTTCCTCTTGTCCTGTCCCTTGTTCCTTGGGAGCAGAGACCGACCCCACCTCACTACAACCTCCTCTCAGGCAGTTGCAGGCAGCGATCAGGTCCCCCCTGAGCCTTCTCTTCTCCACACTGAACCCCCCAGGTCCCTCAGCCGTTCCCCATCACACTTGTGCTCCAGGCCCTGCACCAGCTCCATTGCCCTGAGGAGGCACACACCAAGTCATTCCCTTTTCCCTCTGCTTGCAGAAGCAGAAGTTCCTCCATCCTGTTAGGATTATTTTAAAGCACTTCTTAAAGCTGACTCAGACAATGTGATGCAGCCTGGAGACAGGAGAAAGATTCACAATATGTTCACCCGGTGTTCCTGGCACCACGGATGGTGTGGCACCATCATGTCCCATCACTGCATGACCTCTGCAGTATTTCTCTGCCCAGTGGGGTGAATGCCAAATAGCAGGAGGCTGGCTCCTGTTAGAATCCATTTTGCCTTCCCCTGTTACTTTAACACTGCTTATTCGCGCTGTTAAAACGAGACATGACATTGCACCAAAACTCTCTGCATGGCTTCGCTCCCCATCTTCCCCAAGCCCCAGACGACTTTGAAGAACAAGGAACCCGACTCTGAGAGCGGGGCCCGCGATATTCGTGGAGCATTAGATCATGTCCACGTTAGGTATAACCCAGTACAAATCCTCTCCGTGTCACTGACACCGTGAGGGCTGTTACAATTGCTCACAGCTTAAAACAATTCTGCAGCTTTTCTTCACCCCCGTGAGTTAGTTCCAATTAGAGGAAGGGAACTTTCCGACCCTGCAGAGTTTCTATTTAGGACACAGCCCTGTCCTCACAACACGCTGTCAGCCCTGCCGAGCAGCCGGCAAAACGTCCACTGTGTTACAGAGACGTGACAAAAACAGAGGGAGAAGAGGGATCTGTGCTCCAGTTTCCTTCAAAGGCTCTTGGAAACACCTCCTTAGGCGTTTAGTTTGTTCTGCCTGACGCTGCGGTCGCGGCGCTGCGAGGCCTCCTTCTGCGTCGCCTGCCTTGCAAATGATGTTCCCATTTCAGAAAGTTGGAGGAAAGAGAGAACAGGGAAAGGAGAGCAAATCAAGTGGCAGCAAACCTGCCAACGTGCCCTCAGGAATGGGGAGGCAGGGGCTCGAGCAGCCTGGAACTGGTTGGAGCAAGTCCTGAGGAGGCTATGAGGATGCTCAGGGGCTGGAGCACCTCCTGTATGGAGACAGGATGAGAACATTGGGGCTGTTCAGCCTGGAGAAGCTGACTGGAGAGCTCAGAGCAGCTTCCAGTGTCTGAAGGGGGCTACAAGGATGCTGGAGAGGGACTCTTCATCAGGGACTGTAGTGACAGGACAAGGGGTGATGGGTTCAAACTGGAACAGGGGAAGTTCAGGTTAGATCTAAGGCAGAAGCTCTTCCCTGTGAGGGTGCTGAGGCACTGGCACAGGGTGCCCAGAGAAGCTGTGGCTGCCCCATCCCTGGCAGTGTTCAAGGCCAGGTTGGACACAGGGGCTTGGAGCAACCTGGTCTGGTGTGAGGTGTCCCTGCCCATGGCAGGGGGTTGGAACTGGATGATGTTAAGGTCCTTTCCGGCACAAACCAGTCTGGGATTCTATGATTCTACCACCCAAAGGCAGAGGCACATGGGGTGGAGGAGCCCGTGCCCAGTCACAGCCCATGATGAGCAGCCGGGGCTGGCCCTGGCCACGCAGCTGGGGAAACGTGGCTCTTTGCTTTGTGCTCCCCCAAGCAGTGGGGTGATGTG